AAAAAAAAAAAAAAAAAAAAAAAAGGGATCATTCTGGTATCTCACAAGGGTCCCTTTTGAGTGATTCAACCACATCTCTTGAATAAAGTGCTTACCACGAAGCAAGTACTCAATAAAGCAAGCCACGTCCAGTAGGCTCACCCTGTAATTCCAGCACTTTGGGAGGCTTAGGTGGGAGGATCGCTTGAGCCTAGCAGTTTGAGACCAGTCTCAGTAACATAGTGAGACCTTATCTCTAAAACAAAACAAAACAAATAGCGGGGCATGGTGACATGCGCGTGTAGTCCCAGTTACTGGGGAGGCTGAGGTGGGAGGATTGCTTGAGCCTTGGAGGTTGTTGCAGTGAGCCAAGATTGTGCCACTGCACTCCAGCCTGGTTGACAGAGTGAGACCCTGTCTCCCCCCTGGACCCCCCAAAAAAAGCCACAGATGTCATTCCTTCCCTGGGCTGGGCTGGTCCCTCTGGGAATTGTCCCTTGCTTGCTCAGTCCCCAGCAATGGCCATCACCCTCTATTCCTGAACTCTGGCCTTCATTGAGTACTTACCCTAACCACTGTCTTTCATCTTTCATCTCCCCCTTCCTTCACCCAACCAGGGCACCTTCTCTCTCATCATTGAAACCTGGAGAGAGGAGTTAGGAGACCAGATTGGAGGTGAGTGTCTTCAGTCTTGGGACTGGTGGGGAAGCCGGGGCCCACCTGAGACATCGGGTTGGTGGTATTGTCTATAGGTCTTATGATGTCATCACAGCTCCTGGGATGTGGTGCCGGGTGTTGACAGCTCCAGGCCTCTTGGCATCTCAGGCACAGAAATGTCCCTGGTACTGGATGTAGCAGTCTGTGGTCCTGGTAGCAGATGAAATAGGGGAAGCTCTCTTACTATCAACACCTCCAGAGCAGGGCATAGCATTTCACAGCCCTACTTTATCACCATCTGATATTGAGAGCTCAGGGTGCAATATGAGTTACTTCTGGTTCTTCTATGTGAAGTTTTTTTTTGTTTTTTTGTTTTTGTTTTTTTTTCAAGACAGAGTTTCGCTCTGTTGCCCAGGCTGGAGTGCAATGGCATGATCTCACTCACTGCAACCTCTGCCTTCCGGGTTCAAGCAATTCTCCTGCCTCACTCTCCCAAGTAGCTGGGATTACAGGCGCCCACAACCATGCCCAGCTACTTTTTTTTTGTATTTTTAGTAGAAACAGGATTTCACCATGTTGGCCAGGCTGGTCTCGAACTCCTGACCTCGTGATTCGCCCACCTCGGCCTCCCAAAGTGTTGAGATTATAGGCGTGAGCCACCACGCTCAGCCCCTACGTGAAGCTCTGTCACCTTCTCCATGTGGAGGTCCCAGGGAGCCCTGTGGGATGTCGGAGCTTCACCAAAGAGAATATTGAGCAGAGGTTCCTGGGAGGGATACAGGGCATT